TACTTTCTGTGCATAAGATCCTGACTGCGAGATTCGCAGGGCTGGCAAGCTGCGTCTTGCTCTGTCTTCGGCGAATGCGAGTCCCCACTCCGTGCTCTTCAGTGTTCGGGTTATCGTAGACTCACACCCTGCTCGCCTTAGATATGTTGCACGCGCTCGACCCGAACCAGCCTCCGTCTCCGACGACCGCGCGCGTTGCAGGGGTCGTGTGCATCACATTCGCACTCCTCTTGCACGGGGTGGCGCTCAAGGCGGGACTGCGCCTGCAGAACGCTCTGGGAATCTTCAAGCTCTTTGTGCTGACCGGTATTGCCCTCAGCGGGCTCGCGTCGTTGCTACGCGTGCCAGGATTTAAGCTCGATAACGTGAGGCTTTCGCATGACTGTCGTCCCGAGTCTGGGAACGAGCAACTAATCCGAACGCTTCTGTAGCCTCCACGAAACTTCGATTGGGACAGGATGTGGGAGGGAAGCCTCAAGGGCGGGGCGAACGCTTTTGTGACTGGGCTGTTCAACGTGATCTGGTGCGCATCCCGCAGGCTCTCCAGTTTATTGCCTCGCTGATCGATGGAGGATATAGGTGCTTCATAGGGTACTCCAACGCGAACTACGCTCTCGCGGAGGTACGCGATCCGGTGCGCACCATCAAGCGCGCTGCGCCCCTAGCCATGATCTCCGTCACGCTGGTGTATATGCTAGTAAACGTGGCGTACTACGCCGTTGTAGACAAGGAGGAGATCGTTGGGGGCGGACGTATCGCGGCAGCCTTGTACTTTGGCAAGCTGTGGGGGGTCGGTGCTGAGCGGGTGCGTAGACATTTGTTTCTGCAGGTTCGCATGCTGACGAGGTTCGAACAGGCTGTCAGCGTGATTATCGCGCTGTCGACTCTGGGGAACATCCTCGCGGTTCTGTTCACCCATGGACGAGGTATGAGTTGTTTTTCCCAGGATTGGCTTGGCTGCAGACTGACCACGCGCTTTGCAGTCGTCCAGGAACTAGGCAGGGAGGGTGTTTTACCCTTCTCTTCCTTCTTCGCCAGCAACAAGCCATTCAACGCACCCCTAGGAGGCCTATTTGAGCAGTGGCTCGTCACTAGCACCCTCGTGCTGCTCGTTCCGCCAGGAGATGCATACCTTTTCATGCTCAGCCGTTCGTATCATCTTTGGGTTTCGTTACCTGTGTTATGCTGACGAGCTGTCTCAGTGTCCTCTTATCCCCTGGCGCTCATTAACATGTTCGTCTCTGGTGGGCTGCTCTTCATCCATACTCCGGACAGCCTGTTGCCCAAAAGGCTACACTCGCTGCGCGCATCATACGAATGGGTGCCTCCATTCAAGACCTGGACGCCGGTGGTCCTGTTCTTCTTCCTCTCGAACGTCTTCCTGGTCGCGCTCCCTCTAAAGCCGCCCGCCAATGGCTACAAGGTTTACGACCACCTCCCCTACTGGGTACGCTTGCCAGATGCACAGTACTGCATGACTAATAACGCCGGACTCTTCACACAGCTCCATGTTCTCGTCGCGTGGCTGATCTCCTTTGGTGGAATTGCGTACTGGTATGTGTGGTGCGTATGGCTTCCGAGGAGAGGGGACTATGTCCTTGTCCGTGACTGGATCAGGGATGACGATGGCTCGACACGCAGAGTAGTCCGCAAGGTGCGAACATCGTCGGCGACATGTAACGCAGCTCTGTAGGACGAGCGCTCAATGAATCCGGGCCGTCTACTCGGACTTGCACGCGCATACGCCCACGCTCGCAGGGGCTCGCACCAGGCAAGTGGATTTCGGCAGGATGAATCTTCTGGGCAGTTCCATCGCACACTCGGCCAAGGAGCGCGAGCACCGACGCCTGCCTTTCTGGGTGGCCACTATCCAATTATGACGTCGCTCCTCCCGGCGTCACAGGTATGATGCAACCGTCCCACAGCAAGCCACGACGAGCAGCATATAAACCCAGTTTCTCTCCAAAGGATGTCTCTCACCTCCATTTTACGGCCTTCCAAGCACGACTCACTCTCGCATTTGTACTCGCATTTTTTCTTCCACTCGCACTTATCATAAAACATGTCCGACCCTATCACTTCCGGCCGCCACAACGACTTCGTCGGCGGTGAAGCCAGCAAACATCGTATCCCTGGTGCCGACCAGGCCACCACTGGTCACAGCTTCGTCGCTGTCGACCTGCCACGAGGTATGTCCCTTCGCCTTCTCGAATCCCTCCCTATACAGTACAACATGCGCATGTATTCACCAATCATACAGACCAGAAGCGGCACGCCGACGCTCGGCGGCCAGAGGAGCACCTGCCTCCGCCGACAGGCCGCGATGCCCCTCCAGCAGGAGGTGTGTCTCCCGGCTCGCGGACGAGCGGTTCAGGACGTAAGTGTAGCCCCGCCTCCATCTCTGTCCCGACTCGGCCCTCTGACCCTCGTCCAGCCCTTCCCTCAGATATTCTCAGCCAACGTGAAGCTGCTGCCCGCCAGCCTTCGCCCGTCCACCGCATCGACAACGACGTTCAGCCCCTCCCTCCTGCGCCTGACTCCCGGACGGTCATTGATAAGGATCCGTACGCGACGCCGACTTCGGCCGGAGACACCTTGCAGGGTGCGACGTCGAAAGACGTCTACGGCGGCCTTGGCATGCCCGCTGGCGGTATGAGCAGTGCGGAGATGCACCATGACGGCCAGGCGCATCGCAAGAAGCAGCACCTGGGGGCGGACCAGTACGGTTCGGGGGAGATCCCGAGGGAGGCGGAGTAGCCGGGTGAGATGTACTAGGGTAGATCGATCATGGGCACGCATGAGAGGAACACGCAGTAAACCGGTTGTCCGAGATGATCGCTAGTGTAATGAAGTCTTCCTTGAGTCGAATTGACGTTTCGGGATAGTAACTGGCCACTCCGAGTTGTCCGCCTGAAGCGGAATAAGTTGAGTCGGTATTCCAAAACGACTCCGAGGGCAACTCTTGCACGGCATATCGTGGTAAACGAAAACGAATCGGGCGAATCCTTCACGTTTCTGGTTCATCACTTGAGGATATTATTGGTAAGTTCACCGCAATGTTTGCAGACGACAGCACACCGACCTTTCAATGTAGTCATGCAGGTTGCAGATTCGGGTGAACATCCGTAGATTTGTAAAGTAGGAACGTCCACTCTGGAATTCACGAATTGCGAAAACGACGGAGTCTTGTCACGGCTTAAATTGCAAGGAACCAGCCGATGCGAAGTGCACGGTGAATGATTGAGTAATAACACATCGAATACACATACCTTGAGCGACAGTGAGCGCATATCTTGCATTTATTGCATACAAATTGACCGGGGACGCAGTCCGAGAGCGAGCACTCCGAGAGCGAGTACTCCGAGAGCGAGAACTCCGAGAGCGAGAACGCCGTTATACTGGCACCGACCATACGAATTCTGGTTCCTGATCCAAAGGCGCCCATATAACTCGGTGAATCGCACAGCACCTTCTTCGTGTCGTCGCAAACAAGCCAAAAATAGTAATTTCTGGCCCAGAGCCTTGCGTACTTTGGCCATTGGATTGACAGAACATCCAACATACCACGAAGCTGTGTCGCGTTGTGGTTCACGAGGTGCATGGGCAAGATTGTCTCGATGCCGCGCCAATCCACAAAGATGACGGCGTTGTCTTCAGAGTGGCTGAGTCTGTACGGCAGCTGCGAGATCATATTGCAGAGCTCGCTCAGGCGCGAGTGCACTGTCTTCTCGAACCGGACGCACTGCGTCTTGAGCTCGTCGATGTTAGACCTTGGTAGAGGTACGTTGCATGTCAGCGCGCTGCCATCGACAGACATGGGCACGAACACCATACAGGTTGCACGCTGTCATAAGCGTCGTGAGGTTCGCGCGGTGGGTCGCGAGCTTGGCCCGCGTCTCCTGCACATCCTGCGTCTTGAACAGCGCCCAGCCGATCTTGCGCCAGCTCGAGCCCGAGGTCTTGCTCCCAGTGCCCGACTTGCTCGAGCCCCCGAGGGCCTTCTGGTACCCGCGGGTGCGGTCCCAGAGGGCGTCCATGACGGCGCGGCAGCGCCCGATCTCGGAGATGAGGGCGCGGACGACGTCCGGCTGGAGCATGCCCGTGCGCGTGGCGGTGTCGGCGAGCTGGAGGACGTGCGCGAGGGCGTCGAGCTCCTGGATGAGGTACTGGTACTCGTAGGAGGAGCCTGTGCTGTCGCTGAGGGCTTTGGAGATGCGGAGGGCGAGGTCGACGGCGGTGACGATGTCGCCGAAGGAGCTGAAGGAGATCGGGAACGGCATCGGTTCGGAGGTGGGTGGGAGACGAAGGGAGGAGTTGTCAGGGAGAAGGTGGGTGTCGTACGGGAGTCAGACTGGTCGGTCGTCGCGCAGCGAGGAGCAGGTATGCTCAGCGGGGGGTGCGAGGGAGGGCCAGGAGAATCACAATGCGTCCTTGGCCCTGTGTCGAGGATTTATGTCAGGCAAAGCCAGCATCAGATAAGCCCGTCTAGTTGTTTTCTCACCAGGGTGCTTCTGTGGGCGGTGCGTCCAGAAGCACAGGGCATGTACATGAACACAGCGGTGTTCAGAAGTGGGAAGGCGGTGCGCATGCTGCGCTACAGGCAGAACCACCGACATGAGTGGTAGCCCTTGCCACGACGTCGAGGAAAGACGGGCCAGGTAGAATTTCGAGATTGAGAACAGATCATGCAAGGTCGCGAGGATGGTTGGTCAAGACGCAGTACCCTTGATGAGAGAGCGCATGTAGCTACACTGAGATGGCTATGTCAGCGTTGTAAGCATTAGAGGTCCTTGCTACGCACGGCCCTGGGTAACTTGGTCTGCAGCCGATGAACGTTTGAACGAGAAAGTGTTTCTAGACCTGGAGCGTCTTGAAGCGCCGAGTCCAGGGCTGAGGACGACTGACCCTACTTGCTTCAGGATGTGCGCTTCGAGTTGATGATGCGAAGAAGCCTGACGGTAGGATGATCAGTGCCAAGATAAAAAATTGCTGAAACCAACAGCCCACCGCGAGGCTCGAACTCGCAACATTCAGATCCCTTCGGCGAACTGGTTGGTTCGTAAAAGTCTGACGCTCTATCCGATTGAGCTAGGCGGGCTTACACAGTAATAATAAGGTTTACTTACGGCAGGCATGGTTTGTGACGAGGTCTTCTTGCTCCTCCCGTAGGCTGTCGCATTCCGACGTTCGTTCATCTATGCGAAGACAGGCGGTGAATCGAAGAAGAAGAGACTCGCATGTGAAGCGGGCCTGCCCCTGGCGACACGCCGAAGTTGTCGCTGACCACGCCGCGCTCGAGGCAGGAGCGGTGAGTGGCATGCCATCAGCGCGGGCAGTCTGGACGGTGCTGACGGGGGCGATTGAGCGGGAGGCTGCGAGGCGGGGGAGCTCGTCGTCGAACTGGCTGGGGAACGCGCGTGCGCATAGTGGCTGTCAGCGTGGACAGAGGAGGAGCGAGCAGCGAAGAGACGCGCCCGATTTGGCAGCGGGAGACACAGCTTGTGGTGGGGGATCGCCTCCGTCCGCCCGCTGCAGCACTCGCTGCCATGTCGCTGCCCGATCCGGACGAGCGTGGTCGCATGGACGTGCCCGCTGCTGTCCAAGAGAAGCTCATGGTTTGATGGACGGCGTCCTCCGCCACTCCCTGCCCGGTATATATACCGCCCCCCCGCGTCCCCGCTCCCTTTCCCTTTCGCCCCATCCTCTAATTCCCCAGCCCTAATCGCCCCAAGACCAGGACAACAGTACCTCGTATTCCCCGTAGCATACGCCCCCGACGGGCCCACGCCAGCCGTCCGAGTACAGCTAATCTCTGCATACTACTTCCTCATATCCGCCTTGCAGTCCTTATATCTCGATCCTCGCGTTCTTGCCGTCGCCGCTCGCTTCACGTCTTTGCCTGCAATGTCTAGCTCTCCCGCCCCAGCACAGCATCCCCCAGCCAGCTCTCCCTCGCTCTCCTCCGCTTTCCCTCGCTCTCCCGCCCGCGACACGCCCGCAACACCTCCTACCGCCCCTGCTTGCTCCCCGCACGCCCCTCCCACTCCTCCCGATTCCTTGTCTCGTCTAGCAGCAAATGCCCTTTCTTCGCCTCGCTCCGTCACAAGTCCAGACACGTCGTCCGATCTCTCCCTTTCCGCTGCATTCTCGGCTTCGGCGTCTCAGTTTCAATCGCGTTTGTTGGACACGCCCATAGACATCCACTCTCTTGCTCCCGAGCTTGACAGCCCGGCGGTGCTCCAGGATTCCGCAGCTCCTGCCGAGCGCGAGCGCGTCCAAGCCTTCAATCCCCGCGAACATAGCAGCCCGAGTATGTGTCATATACACCTTTACGACATGTGCGCATGTACTGAGCACTAATTGCTTTGCAAATCCCAGCGCCTACACAGGAAGCAGCGGCCCGCAAAGTCTCGCCGGACACTCTACCGCCGCCGTTCATTCCGGCTGCTGCCCGTGCACAGGCCGCGCTCGAAGAAGCCTCCGGGCAGGCTGACGCTGCAAGCGCCCCCTCTCCCGACCCGCGGCCTCCCAACGTCTATATCAATGGATTGCCTCCCAACTTCCCCGAAGAGGACCTTCTTGCCATGACCCGCCCGTTCGGTCCCGTCCTCAGCGTGCGTACATTCACAAGACACGTCAGTGACAAACCATCGTCAGTATCTTGTTCTTGTCTTGTGGCCCGCTCGATCGCCTCCGTCTCTTGTATTTTCTGACTAATTTTGACGCATATACAGAGGCTATGGATTCGTTCTGTAAGTTCTTGTCTAGGTAACGTCATCCGCATTCCTAAACTTACTCTTCCCAGCTTCGAGGCTCTCTCTTCAGCGGAGAAGTGTATAGAGTCCTTGCGCAAGTATCGGAACCTGCACCCCTCATTCTCGAAGGTAATTTAGGTTTGAAATCGTCTCGTATCTGGCTGATCTGGTCTGCGTACACGCATATAGCAAGTGCACAAGATACCTGGCACAACCTACGCGACTGTCCCCGCCGCTCTGACTTCCAACACCGGTCCTGTGGATTCATTCAAGTCGAAGATGGAGCAGCTCGGTGATCACGCCTCTACGAACCTTTACATGGAAGGTCTGCCGCTCAGCATCACTGAGGAGACCTTGCGTGCCCTCGTTACGCCATATCGCATCATGAGTTCTCGGTTCTTCCACACCCGCTTGAGTAGCCCACCGAGGATCATCGCCTTCGTTCGGTGAGTTCCAAGCACAGCAGATATCTATTACCCATCACCCGCTCACATTAAAACAGACTCGAGAGTCGCACTGCAGCCGAAGACATCGTCGAACGTCTCCATGGACGATTAGTAAGGGGATGGAACGATGCAGGTTGTCGTATCTCAGTGAGGTTCGCGGACACGGCAGAACAAAGGGAGTTGAGAGTACGTTCGCTTGCCCATAGCAGCGATTCATCACGTACTCATCGCATTGATGCGTCACAGCGGACTGAACGTCACAGCCGCGAGGGAGAGCAGTCTCCAGCTCGGTTGACCATGGCACGTGCTGCACTTCTGAACCTGAAGGGTACACAGTATCAAGGTGTCGGCCACTCGCCGACGCTGACAGACATCAGCCTCCAGGGGCTGCCCGGCGCCACCAGCGGGAACCTCGGCCTCGCGTTCAACCAGCTTGGCCTTGGACAACTCGGAAGTCCAGTGTCTCCTCTGCAAGCGGCATCTCCTCTCGCCATTCAGAACCCATTCGTTCGCCAAGGCGCAGAGTTTGGCGTCCCAGGCTTGGATGCTCTCAACGCGCGGGCGGCCAACGCTCCTGCTCAGACTCTTCGTCTGCCGCAGCAGCTTCAAGATACTGGTTCAGGTCTACTCGACGACCAGAGCGACCTACAGATGGCGTTGCTAGGGATGGGCGTGCAAGGGCTCCGCGCTCGCACAAATAATGGTTATACCCCAGTGGAGCAACTCATCCTGCAGGCCCATACTCGTCAGCAGCGCTCGGGAGCTGTCAATGTCGGGTCGGACTCCGTACAGGGACAGCTCCAGAACGCTCAGCTCGGAACGTCCGGTGCGCACATCAACGCCCAGCGTGCGGAGACTAACCGGCGGCTGCTGGACTTCCTTCCTCCCATGTCCGAGGATGACTTCCACGCCAATGCCGGGCTTGTGCAGGACCTACGCTCTCTTGGGCACACGCTGATGCCTACCGGCTTCGCCGCGAGTGAAGAGCAGCTTGCGCTTGACCTAGATCGTCAGTTGGCGCTCTGCGGTCAGCCGACACGCCAACGCAACCATACCTTGGCGACGCAGGCGCGTTCGGATGTCGATAAGCAGGCCGTGCACATACGGTCGTCCACTTTGCCCTCCCCTCAATACACCAGCGTTCGCTCGCATACGACCACCCCTAATGTTCCGTTATACGACTCGGACCTCAGTCTCAATGCCAACACATCGAACCGCAACACGCTTCGCGCTAATACGAACAACATTCACACCACCACGCACAGCAAGCACGCTCCATACGTCCCCACAGGCCCATCGGCTACACGCAACATTGCCCATTCCCTACCCGATACCCAGACACTATTCTCGAGCAAGAACAACATCAACATCTCCAGCGCCACATCTCGTCTGAACATGAACACCAGCACTATGAGCTCCATCAATCCGTCTATGAATGTGAAGAACGGCGCGTCGAAGACGCCTGCGATGTCCGCAAGTCACGTCGTTGGGGTGGCGCAGCCGCAGAACGGCGACGACGAAGACGAGCACTCGCCCGTGGTCTCACCTGCACTCACGTACTCTACGCGCACTCCTGCCTCGCTCAGTCCGGCTACACCGTACTCGGGCTTCTTCGCGGACGGCGGAGAGACGTTCAAAAGCCCGAACGTTGCGGTCGCTGGCAACGACATCTGTGTCGGCGATGTGCGCCTCGAGGCGAACGCTGGCGAGTTGAAGCAAAGGGCTACCGGTGGGACGGCTGTAGAGAGCCAGTGATGTCGATGAGCGCAGGTTCGTATGAGGTCGTGGAAGACAGACAGACGCTACTCTTCCGCGCCGCTCACGAACGTTTGTCTCGAGTCGCATTCCTATGTTTCCGGTCATTTTGGGTCGTAGTACGTTCCATCAAGGTCGCACCGCAGCCGCGATAGTTTGGACGCTTGCGTTCATAGATTGTTGTTGTACGAATAGAGAGCAAGAGTCGTATGTGTACGTCAGTAACAGAAGAAGTCGAGTCAATACGAGCTATGATTGAGAACAGAATGCGCGTGTCTTGAGCTATGTCGACCAAAGTGTTCGCGTCGTCCTCCTCACAGTCGGCCCGGGCTGCCCGAAGAGACGAGGTCCTCTGGGCGCCTATGGAATTGGGCACGTGGGCGACGGTGGGCGACTGTTTGTTTGGTCGTGTAGGCGAATGCGGAAGGCGTCGGTCGGGATGCGCTCAGTGGGCGTCGGCTGTGAATTGTCCCCTTGAATTGCTAGCGGATTGGAAGCGGGTTGCTGCCCACCGCTGGGAGGTTATAATCCTCGTCTGCTGCCACCATGCACTCATCAACACCTGCTCGCCGCAGCCGCCTCAAGCACACTCGACCTCCTCGCCTGCCTCACAAGTACCAGTACTTGCCATCGCAATGTCTGCCCCAGTCGCCTCCACCTCCACCTCCCGCCCCACTTTCTTCGGTCTCTTTGACCGCAGCGCAACCCCGGTGCAGGAAACAGACATTGAGGCTCAACTTGCCTCCCCGCTCGCGCCCCCATCTCCCGCTCGCATCCACACCTTGCGCGCCGTTCGCGCATCTATCGAGGAGACGACCGACGCGGTCGACGACTTCTTCGGCGCGCCGCGCCGCGCAACAAGTACTACTACTATGACCGGGACCCGCGAGAGCCGGCACGACGAGATCCGCCTTTCCACGCACACGGACGGGTCTGCGTCCGAGACCCTCCCTCCGCCGTACGAGTGCTCCATCGAGCCCCCCGCGTACTCGCGCGTCGCGGACCAGCCCACGCTCGCGATGTACCTCTTCAAGTTCGGTTTCTGTGAGTAATCTCTGCTCTCTCTCCCTCCCCTTGTGAGGCTCGTGCTGACCGGTCCGCGTTTCTGCTCGACAGTGTTCCCGCTGTTCTGGCTCGCAGGC